GATTTGCAGCCATTTCTCACAGAATTAAGACTGGAAAGGTAGGAAGATCTACTCCAAGGTGGAAACTTGTACTAAATGATCTCTTGAGAAGGTTGCGCAGTACTCTGAAGGGATCAAGAAATCCCAACAACAAGGTTTTCAAAAGGAGTAAGAAGGCCAAAATATACTTAAGGAAATTTTGCCATAGACTATCATGGAGATAAATCTCTCTTCCTTTCTCTATGTCTTTCTTTCTGTCACACTTTTTCCGGCCACAGCAATGCTAGAACTGCACGCTGCAATGGTTTACATTTGTACTTTCAGGGACCACCTACAACAAAGTAACAGCATGTAGCAGGCCAAAATAAAAAAAAAAGAAAAAGCACAAAAGACATCTATATAAACTAAGCACTACTGAAGTATTTTTCTAAATATAATATTGCTCATGTGTAATGCATATCAAATATCCACCATGAGGCCTTGTACATCTGCATGATCTAGGATATTTGTACCTCTTTACTTGTTATGCACATTTGTGAAAATAATTTGCTCATGCTAATTGCAAGCACTGTGACAAAATCCATTTGGTTATGCTGAAATGCTCAAGTCATGAAAGCAAATGAATGTGAAACTTAAAATCAATATTTCTGTAGTTTTGTATGCCAATTTATCTTTATTCTACTTAATGAAGAACTGGAGGATATGGTACTTTTGCATGATAATCTTCATGTATATATAACAATTAATGGATCTAAAAACTTCTTAATTAGTTAGCCAAAATATGTGAATACAGGACTAGAGAATTTCAATGTTTTGATGAAGATTTGAAGTGCAAGAAATTATCTGAAAATATATCCAACATTGTCTTTATATTTTTCAATAATACATGGAACACATGCAAATAAAAATATGTATAAAATAAGCACATATTTATAAATATAGTTAAGTCATGGAATCAATTTCATTAAAAAAGTAATACATATTGACAAAATAATTCAAGTTTTTCCCTATTGGCTTTTTCCTGAATTCTCTTAATTAATAAAAATGGCCAGATATGATATTAATATTATGTTAGGGTTCTGCAAAGACAATTATACTTTATCATCATAGTAAAGCTAAAACTACTAGTATATCAGATAATTTGCCTATTCATTTGGTGATTTGTGGAAAAGTTGGAGAATGTGTTAAAAACTATTTTCATCAAATTATATATGTATATATACATTTCTAAGGAATTGCAATAAGTCAATATATGTATATGTAATATATATGGATATATATTATACATATACATACATGTGTACATATATTTAGGTATGCTTTAAAACATACAAAATGTAGTATCAGAAATTATATATAATTTAAATGATCAATTATCCTAAAATTTCACTTTCACAAAATGTACAGTGCACAACTTGAAAAAATATTGAACAAGCTCTTAAATTTTGTTTCGTGTGCATACTTTTTTAGATTGTACTATGCTACTTAAATAGCAATTGTCATTACTTCTGATTATATCCATGGTGTAGTTAACAAAAATAACTAAAGGATTTCACTAACTAAAAAATGCTATTGCGTTGATGTGCTCCTCAGTTTTATATTATTCCCATGAAGAATATATAATTTTGATAAACTCCTAAGCTATAGGCTATTCAAAAGAATACATGAATGTTCGTTTAGGTAAACTATGTCATAAGATTGTGGCTCCAAGATACTACATTGAAACAAAAGGAGAGTTTGTTCTTCACAATAAACTTAATACCTTTCTCTAAGTGAGATTCTTAACCAAGATTTCAAAGTAAATTTTTTCTATATTTTGCCTGAATAGGAGAGTTGTAATTTAGAAATCATGGATTAAGTAGGACGTTCATATCTCATGTTATATTCATCCTTCCAAGTAAAGCATAAATATTCCAAACCAATAGTTTAAAATACATACTGATAAAGCAATCAAATTTTATTTCAGAGTATCCCTGTTTTCCTTCAATTACAAAAAATATGACTAGATATAACAGTAATATTGTTTGGGGGAGATAATTAAGCTTTATCATGATAAAACTAAAACCACAATGATAAAATTTGTCTGATTATTTGTCTATTTTTCTGTGCCAAGGAATGTTATTAAGCCTTCATTTTTGTTGGGAATTGTGCAAATGCAAGGTTATAAAAACATTTGTTAAAAATATCTGCTTATAAACACAAAACCAAACAATGAACAATTGTAAAATGCGCTCAACACTAAAACCTATTCAAAGATATTTTCAAACACCTATGAGGGTAATTCTATTATAACACAGTGCTAAATTTGCCAATAATCTGTAGATAGGAAATATCTCTAAATGTCTATGTTTTTATAAGGTAGTTACATTTTGCAATTTTATTTCAATAAAGGTTTATTTGAGTAAAAATAAACTCCACATTGTAGAATATCACTGAATAAAGTTATATTTCTTGGTAAACAAGTAAATTTAAAATGATATTTATAGAAATGCATGGTCTTCACAGTGACAGACCTGCAGCATGGTGAGATTTAAATTGCTTTTACCATCATTGCTCTCCCAATAAAATTCTGAAATATAACAAATTTCAAATATCCACAAAGATTCTGCACTGACTGTTCCTGGAATAGCAGTGTATCCTTAGATTACAAAAAAGAAAAGAAAAAAATTGGATTTGTCATTTTAAAAATAAACATAAACTCATCTTTTCAAGTAAAATTTCTGGAAATTTGATATATAAGAAATTGAATATAATGTTAAAGATATATACTTATTATTATGCATATAAGTGTTCAGACACTCTATTTACCTCTACCTCATGTGTAGTACTACACACCTTTGTCTCTCCAAAAGAAGGAGAATTACCCTGTACCTCAAAAGTCATTATTCAAAATTGAATATATAAAATATCAAATAGTGGAGTTACTAGATAGGGAGATATAATACCTATAATTTTTTCTTTCTATGATTGAGTTCAAGTAGTATAAATTACACCTTTAGAATATGGTGTTAAATTTCACAAGGAGATCAGTCCAAAAACCAGTAACTTTTGAATTGAATACCTCAATTTTTTTTGCGTTGATAAATGAAGCTTTAAGATATATAATGACTTAACTATTATTTAGCTTAGATTACAGGGTAGGATTTTGACAGTGTCAGCCTGATATTAGACGTCAAAATCAAATTAGTTGCATGTTTGAGATGGTGGTTACTTTCCTAGGTAGATTTTCGCATATTCATCCATAACCTAGGACAAAATTTTTGGTGATGACTGAAATATGAAAGACATTTGGTACTGAAGTATATTATCAACTCAATGTAAAGATTAGTTTTAGGCTAGCCTTTCAGCAATCAACTAGATGGACAATTAAGTAGAGCAAAGATTATCATAAGAAGCTACTGCCCTTTATGCTCTGTTGAGTAATCACTAGTGAAAGACATACTTCTATACTTCTGACACAGATTGTCTACCATAAGAAATTCTAAAAGTCAAAATAATGAGTGCTTTGACTCTCAGGTCATACTGGACCTGGCTGGGGCACCATAATGAGTAGAAAGTTCTTAAATTAAAACTCCCCAGTTGCTTTGGTAAATAGCTAAATATATTACTAATTCTGTAATTTGGCATATTCCCATTTTAAGCTCAGGGCATCCTTGACATATATCAACTTACAAAGATGATACCAGTCTCCTTTTAACTTCAAAATTGTCATGTGGGTAAATGATGTAAGAAGCATATAGTTAGAAAAACATAGTTGATATAATGATTAGAAATGCTGAAAAAGAATGTTTATCAATAATTATTATTTGGTTAGATATTTTCAGCCATAGCTTAGTTCATAACTTTCGAGAACTAAAACAATCACTGATGAACAAAGGAATGGAAGAATAATTTATTTATCTTTCTCATTTCTGGTACAATAGGATAAGATCAGATGACATGTATTTTTGCCAGTTTTTTTTTTCTTTTTGGCTTTCCAAGGCAGTATTTCTCTGGGGCAGTGGAGGCCATTTGGAACTAGCTCTTGTAGACAAGGTCGTCTCAAACTCACTGAGATCTACCTGCCTCTGCCTCCCGAGTGCTGGGATTAAAGGCATGCACCACCACCACCCAGCTTTTGCCAGTTTTTTTTTTTTTTTTTTTTTTTTTTGTATACAATAGTCTAAAAGGTAATCAACTAGACTTACAAATACTAGAAAGTTCTACCTCACCAATACAACATTTACAATACCTAAAACTCTACCTCTTTCTTTTTATTTAAATTGATCAACTATTTAAGATGTTGAGAACCTGCAATATTTCTTAATCATTATGAGATTAGTGTAGTTACATGGTTGTTTTAATGGAATAGGCTATAATTATAAAAGTAAACCATGAATCATTTAAGAACCCCTGGCAAATTTGAAAAACAAAACTAGAAGTGGTACCTTGGCTTAACTTACTTTGCTTAAGAGAATCTGAGTTGGATGACAAAGTGGCTGTCAAGGGGATGCTATTAGGACCAGAAGTCGCCATGAAACAGATGCATAGGAAAGATATTAGAAAGACAAATGTAAGTTACTTTTTAATGTTGTTGCTTAGGAAATCACTATTGGTTTTCATTTTCCTAGAAGCCAACTGAAAGGAGGGGAATTAGCATTTGAGGAAATAGTTGTTTGGTGGGTCTTTAGGAATTAATGAAGACAGAATTGAGAATGAAGTAGTTGTCTAGATTCTCATCAGCCATATACTACTTTCAGAACACAATGTTTTGTCCTTGTAGACACTATTAGCTCAGATTTTATAGATTTGAGTAACTTTAGTACATTAGGGATATATTTGTGAATACTGAGTTGAGAGTCATATTCATGCTAAGTGAATTTAGTAGTGGCTCCAAAAGCTTTGAGGAGATAACAATTTTGGAAAAGTCATTTAAAATATCCTCTAGTGTACAGTGTTTTGTGGAGAGTAAATAAAGATTCCTTATGAGATATAAGGTATGGAACATGAAGCTTACTTGGGAATGACAAAA